TTGTTCCTGTCCAGCGAGTTCGACCCCGTCACGCCGCGCGCGAACGCTATCGCCATGGCCGCCGAACACCCCGGCTCGGTCGTCCTGACGCAGAGCAACGCGGGCCACGGCACGCTAGGCACGCCGGGCAAGTGCAGGGACGGCTGGATCAACAAGTACTTCGAGACGGGCGAGTTGCCGCCCGACGGCACGGTGTGCGAGCCCGATTGCACGCCCTTCCAGGAATGCCCGCAGATGCCGACTGCGCAGAAGCGAAGCTTGGATGGGAAGAAGGGCGTCCCGGTTTCCTTGCCGAAGAGGAAGGGTCCTTTGCATATGTGGTAGGGCGACTTAGTTAGCCTACTTAGTACGTATGGTATTACGTCCTCTACTTTACTCTACGGGGGAGGACTTTTCTTCAATTGGAAGCATGGCGATATGCATAGGAAACAGGGTACATAAGGCATAGGGTTACTGGGTATCGATCACGTACATAGTTTAATCAAGAAGAGTGTTCAGGGCCGTATTGGAGTCGAATTGATATGCTAATTCTGCCTAAGCGAATTTGCACCTTAACTCAGGCACCTAAAGTAGTTAGGTTACTTGTAACTGAAAACGACGGCGTATGCATGCGTGAACTGAACTCAACGTCGTTCGTGAGCCTTAGTCTCGGACGAGACGAGACGTGAAGACGCGAGGGACAAAAGGAAACAATTGGATCTCGATCCTGTGGCCACCAGCCTGTGATTACGCCCGTCCCGACGGCACGTAGAGAAAAGAAAAGAAAAGAAAAGAAAAGAAAAGAAAAGAAAAGAAAACAGAAAAGACGCGAAATGTAGGGGTAACTTGGGGGCAGGGGTATTCTCGATCGTCGACGATTGTTGGTGTCGTCTTGTTCGATTTCCATGCCGGAAAACAAGGGGGGAAACGATGGGGGCAACTTTGCGGCAAGGGGTTTTTCTCGGTTTTCTATGTTCCTTGGCAGCTCGCCGGCTGCGAGGCTTGTATTCTGGTTAGTATTCGACGGCGAAGGAGTAGGATATGGGTGTATACTTACAATACAAGTGATCATGGGGCTCTAGGTAGACCTTGATTCTTCAAGGTTAGGTTGCTGAGGTGATCGTGCTCACTCTTCATCAACGGTGGTGATGGTTTCACGGAACAAGTGTTGCATGTACCTTGCAAGGAACTCGTCAATGGGGTCGTGGTTGATAACCTTGTCGGCAGGGCCCCAGTCCGAGTCCCAACCGGCGTCCGGCTTCGCATCCGGGTCCTCACTAAGGACGTCGTCCCCACCACACACGACCTCAGGAGGGAGGTGCTTGTCCATCTTCTTGATCCATCTGTAGAGCTGCAGTAATGTTTCCTCACACTGCCAGAAGATGAGTTTATGATTGTGTGAAACGGACAGATACTCGGCGTCTATCTCAGTCTCTCCCGAAGAGTTGCGGCGCGCTACCAGAAGCGGGCATTTGATAGTCTCGCTAGAGCCCTGGTAGGCCAAGGTCACGTCAAGCAAATAGCTCACCTGTCCCGCAGATATCGCCCTCTTGCGGAACTCGGGCTTCTCGTACGGAGCCGTGTCCACGTACTTAGCCGGCAACTGATATCCCATTCTTCGGTACACATAGTTCTTGCGCCATACTAGATCGAGGCATGTATGAAGCATGGCTGCTCGATTTGGGCCCGTTACCTGAATCAAGATCGTGCGCTTGTTGAAGTCCAGCGCCATAGAATTGGCCTGGTCGGGATCATGATGTTCCAGGCAGACGTTGTAAGGGGCCGGATAATGCGACGCGTAAAGACCGCGCTGGGATAGGCACTGCTCAGGGACGAAGTTGGGGTCGCGATTCTTACCCATGGGCCCTGCATGGAGCCTCACCGCGATCTGTATAGTTTGCCAGGCTCCGTAGATCTCGATACAGTCGATACGAAGTTGCATATTCTATGCTAGTGTTAGAAAAGCGTCCTCGAGTCGAAGACGGAGATGACTTACTTCGCTGTGGTATCGCCTCTGGATGATTCCCGGAATGCTGCTCAAGTAGCCTGCACCGGCAAAGCGGCCGTCCTCGAATGACGGCGGGTAAGTCACATCGGGCCGCGATAACGTACCAGAACCTTGGGACATTGTGTTGATGGGTGGTTATTCTTCAGTACGTGGAAGACGAGAAATGAATCAAGCCAACTTGTTATTGCACCTGACAGCCTGATGGTAGACTGGAAAAAGTTGACTTGGGGATGGAAGAAGTTGACTCGAAAAGGGAAGAGAAGGATATGTTTGGAAGGGATGGCCAAGTTGGGGGATGCTTAATGCGCGGCAGGCAGTTACACGACCTTGCTGCCGACTATTTAGTTGTAGAAGGAAGGAAGGAAAGAAAGAGAGGAAAGAGTACGTCAAAGGCGGCTATAATCTCGAATAGTTACGAGACTATCGTGGCACGAATTGGCATGCCATTGCCTGGAAGCTTTCGGTCTCTATCCCCGCTATACAACCCCTCTGACGAGGGACTTCGAAAGGGGCTTATACTAGAGCCGAAGCCGCAGCGGCTAGGACTTCGACCAAGCCGCCGCCGAAGCCATCGTTACCTACTACGATAAAGGGTGCTAGCAGCGTAGACAGCAGCTTCCCGAAGATATGAGCTACAAGTGTCGGTGATCCGTTGGCCAGAAATGAGTATATTAGCTCATATAGGACGGGATAGTTGGAAACTGTGAATGCGGTGAAGCTCGGCGCAGCTGGCCGAGATGTTCTACAGAAGGCAAGGGTATTCACTTATAAGTCACGGTGGGACATATATTTGATCAGGGCACGGCTACTATTCGGGATGATATCGTCTATTATGCCTTGACGTCTATATCACTGACAGAATCGTGAAGCCTACTAACTACAACAAAGAATAAACCGTATATAAGAAGTAATCACAGGAACTATACCCTACCTAAGTAATGACAATGACGCTTGTAACACCAGTATACGATCCTAGGTGTTTGCCATAAGATAGGCTATTCAAGCTGCTCAAACAGGATGATAAGATTTATAGTATAGTAGAGACTGTTCGTAGCTTTATTACCTACCTAACTATGCAAATATTATATTGATGGACAATATATCAAACATGGGACGACATCGGTTGCTATCATATTAACAATATCTGTTTAGCAGTGTCATTTACATGATAATCTTATTTACGTCCAGTACTAGTTATCTAAGTACCACAAGCCGGTGAATCTTTAGCACAAAAGGCCTTCAGAATACCCCTTACGGGACAGAGCCGAAGTTTTGCGTGACAAATGAAATGCAGCGTCATTTACAAAACGTTGTTCAGGATGCCTACTAACAGCTATCTACTAATTCTGTTAATTACATTCTATCTGTCCTAACCTCTATTTATTCTTTGCCTAAAGCAGGAATATAATTTTCACATATGTAGAATCGTATTTTCGAAAGAATTGATCGACATTGAAGAACTCTTCTGAATTTGTGTGGTGGCGGAAGACAAGAGCTCTTGGAAATAGTAGACTGAAAGTAGATGCGGGGAGATCGCCAATGAATTTGGTGAATGCGACTTGGTGGGTGCTTGATCGGGTCACTCTGCGAATATCACAGCCCTTTGCCGGGGGCGCGATTTAGTGGGACCATTGCCATTGATGGATTTGAAAATATGAGGGGGTGAGAGTACATCTGAGACATGCTGCCACTCCCTGTCCTAGATTAGGAGACGTGGGTCCTTCCTCGATGTATGGAGAATCTTCGGCGTCTGACAAAAGGAACATAGGTTGGACGAATCTTGGTCACTAGAGGTAGGTATGGAATTTGGTATGGATAATATTCTTGACATAGAAATTCTATTTTGATGCTTTTATGTGTTAACTATATATAGATATGGTATATTATATTAAGCGTTATTATAGTAGGTATATATTCTAAGCTTTTATTACAGGTTTTAGTGATTAGAAAGAATAGGAATGATTTTTTAAAGGAATCATAATATCTATATCTATCTTAGGCTCCTAGTTTTTATGTTATTGTTAGTTTCTTTATTTTAATAAGGTAGTTTCCTTTGTAAAGGGACTAAAATAGGAGGTTTGCAAAGTGTCTAAGTTGCCATTCCCTTAACTTATTGGTACGTTGAAGGTCAATTCTGTCTTATACAAATTACCATTTCGTGTATTGCTATGAAACTATTCGAAGCAACTACTAGTGATCTATATCAATTTTAGCTGCACATCCATATCAATTTTCTATAAACCTAAGATAAGGCTTCTATTAGTTAGAAGCCTAGCTCAAAGCCTTATATGTGTAACATCTACACCACACAAAATCTCCGAATATCATAGAAGGCTACCGGGAAATATTTCATAAGTTATCTTACTCATAATATGGGTTACAAGTTGTGAAATCAATGTATCAATATGCAATCAATGTATGTACAAACAGCTCCCCACCTTTTTCTATGACATCCAATATCCCACGTTCCCAGTAGTCACAGGAGTGTACTTACTCATCTAGTTATGGAATATGGCAACAGTTTGTCATAGCCCTTAGCTACTGACATGATTAGTTGGGAAATGGTAGGTTATTATTTAGACACCAATTCTATGGTGAGAATATTGAGAAAAGTGTTTGTCACAACTAGCAAGCTCAGACCATATTCAATATCGGATGCCGCTGTTTGCTTTTTCTAGAAAACCAGTTGTATTAGACCGGGCGTTGGTCATCAGAGCTGAAGCGCAGCAGGGGCGTCTCATTGGAAGTCCGTCAGTCATGTGGAGCGGCTGTGTACGGATAGATGCAGGTGAGGTAGGTATCCCCGGGTAACTTTTTAAATTCAAGGCTGCCGCTTCTGTGTGTAGAGATGTGACAAGGCTTTCTCACAATTCACGCGTCGTGCTTGACACGTCGCCTCAAGGCAACCAGCCAGCCCTACCTTCCCTAATATGTTCAAACAAGCTCCGTAGGCATCAGTGTCACATCGACCACTACAGGTCTTTGGCTGAGTGGTTACAAGACCAGATCACTCGCCGCACTAGAGAAATGGTTAACTCGTCGGCCTCCTATCGCTCGATCGATAGCCGAAGATTCCTGGTTCGAGTCCGGGGTGTGGTGATTCTTTTTTTTTCCTTTCCTTCACATCACAACCGCCCCTTCCCACTCCTCTTCCTTCTCCTTTTTACCTCTCCTTTCTTATGTAGTACGCAATCTACCCCGTTAAATTCTACCTTATTAGATCGTGGCAGATGCACGATAGCTTTTTGCTGTTTATCTTTACGACTGGGTGGTGACAATAACCGCTCGACAAGAATCATCGCAACATAACATACCTAGCTACCTATATACCTTAGGTACATAAACAACTAATAAACAATCTAACATCTATATACAAAAGAACATCGCCGACTATCACAGCGTATCAAAAAAGGCCAAAATCTCCCTAACCGCCACCTCCGGCTGCTCCTGCTGCACCCAATGCCCGGCGCCCTCCACAAACCTCGTACCCCTATAACAGCCCTCCTTGACACACCCGGGGTCCGTGTAGCCCTCCAGCGCACCCGGCTGCTGGTAGTTCCCCCAGTCCCTAGCCCCGCTGATGAAGACACACGGCACCTCTATAGCTCGGCCGGCAAACAACAGCATGTCCCGCGCCGACTGCGGCGTCGACGCCGTCTGCGCGCGGTACCAGTTCAGCGCGCCCTGGAAGCCGGTGCGCTGCCACTCGCCGCAGTACACCGCTAAGTCATCCTTCGACAGCCACCGCTCCGTCGTGGACAGGTCCTCGCCGCGCATGTTAGCCTCGACGGCCTCCGGCATCGAGTGCGCGGCCTGCATGATGTAGTACTCAGGGAGGACGGCAAGGTCCGCGGCGCCCCATTTCTGCAGGGGGTGCGGGTCGTTGGATGCCCAGTCGGCGGATTTCAGGTGGAAGTAGCCGCGCAGGAAGACCTCGAGGCCCTGCGGCGGGTTCTCCCAGTCGTGCGCGGCGCCAGGCGACGAGTTGTACCATTTGTAGTGCTTGCGCGGGGGGTCGAGCTTTGCGAGTTCGGCTTGGATGTCTACCTTCTTCTCCTGCCCCTTGTTCGCGGGAGCAGGTATAGGGGGCCGGTGGTGCGGGTGGCTCATCTGGATCGAAGACCGGAAGACGTCCGGGCGCATGAGGGCCGCCATGGCGGAACTCACGCCGCCGAAGTCGTGGCCGATGATGCTGTGCGCCGTTGTGTAACCCAGCCCGTAGACTAGACACACCAGGTCGCGCACCAGATTGGTGAAGACGTAGTCGTTGAGGTCGACGTTTTCGAACGCCTGGTGCCGCGGCCAGCCCCTGGTGCGCCCATACCCGCGCTGGTCCATCGCCACGCAGTAGTATCCCGCCTCTGCCACCTTGGGCAGCACCTTGCGCCACGAGTACGCCAGCTCTGGGTATCCGTGGCAGAAGAGCACGAGGGGTTTGCCGGGCTCGCCGGCTTTCAGGATGTGCCACGTGAGGCCGCACGATGCGGAGCAGTCGACATAGGCCGAAGTGATGCCCTCTGGCAGAGGTAGGTCGGGCAGCGCCTCAGTCTGTAGCTCTATAGCATTGCCCATGTTGATACTTTTAAGACACACGTAAGTTGGTATGTACACTTAATATTTAGTCAATACAATACCTAGGTATTCACGTATTATTCTGCCTACCAAAATATGCAAAGTCAAGTATTACAAATGGAGTACAGAGTAAGGGGCATGAACGAATGCCGAGCCCCGCAGACGTCGAATTGTTGTAACCCACTAGGTTACGTTGTTACGTCAGCAACGTTGTGTCTCCTGAGATATGTTTGTACGTATACCGAGGTTATATGGCTTATTACGTACTGGCGATGAGCCAACGAGTTGACACAAAAGTCATGTGCTAGAAGAACTGTTATCTTGATTTTATCTGTATGATATGAACGCTGTCATATTGAGCTAGTTTGCTTATGATCTGTTACAGTATTGTTATTGTGATTTAGCCAAGTTGTACAAACATATGGTGACAAGAATGTATGCTGTCAAGTACCCAACTCAAGATTCTAAACCTCTGCGAAATGAATGAGTACATTTTAGTTATACGTCGTGAGGCGCAATCTCTGAATGTACTGTCCCTGATTATTCGGCGCCTAGAGATCCGATACACTCCATTCGTCCCAGCCCTTCTTCTCACCAGGTAGGCTCACAGCTTCCCACTCTTTCCTGGTGACATTCTTCCACTCGTCGACGGGAATCCAGCCGATGTAAGCTCTGTCTCCAAAGCCACCGATCCAGTAGATTTGTGTGACGATGAGCCTCACAAATTGGGACTCATGGATCCGATTGCCAGGTAGCCAGTACTTTGCATCGGGGTGCTTGCTCACAAAGCAAGACGCTAGGTCCGCGGTGGATGCTGGGTCAACCTTGTCGATGTAGCCCAGGAGGCTGTAGCGCGGGAGGTTGACGGCGCTGTAGGGCACAGTTTCCTTGGGCTCATCGGCACGTCCGAATAGCCAATCAAAGAAGGTGGACTTGATGCGCTTGTCGGGTGGGTACGGCGGTGTCCACTGCTGGGCTAGGCTGATGTTGGAGCCGCCTTGCACATTCTTGAAGGTGGTCTCGATGTTGATGGCTAGGAAGGTAGGGTTGCCTTCCTCTTCGCAGTCCGCTACGTACTCCAGTAGCCCGAGGGGCATGCCGGCGAGGCCATGCGGCTGGCGCCCGTTTGACGAGTCCGGGAAGACGGTGGCAAGCGTTCCAAGTGGAGTAAGAGCTAGGATTCGCCGGCCGAGCACGGCGGATTCATATGAGGTGGGAATCCGATACTCTGATGCGGAAGCAGGAGGATTTTGGAAGATGTACTGAGAATCCGGAGCGAGCTCCGCTGCGAAGGCACGCACAGCTAGAGAGATGATTGGCAAGTTATATGTACTTGACAGCCTCATCGTGAAACGTGGTACTATGCGAGCAGCCACCGAACTCTGATGGGAAGAGTAGCGTTGAACAAGAGAGAGAGGAAGGTTGAGCTTCTTTAATTCTAGAATAAGAATAAGCTTGAGAACCGGTAAGAGCTTATTATAAAGTTAACAAGCATCCGTTTGCTCGTCCGATGGCGTCTGGCGGTCAATGCAGTGTTAGTTCATTGATTCAAACGAAGCAGCGAAGCCGGCCACCGGTCTGAAGTTTAAGGACGACGAACGATCCATGTGAATGATGTATCAGGTGGGACCATTCCTAGGCGGGTCTGGGGTCTTGTCTTCAACCGCCCCAACGGGTTTAGTCATCTTGAACCGAGATGTAGCCAAGTACCTAGTACCGGAGACATTGTACGAGTTAACTTGTGAACCAACTGCCAGAATCACTGCATGCATTGTGTTCATTTGTGAACTAACGGATAAAAGAGTACTTTGTGCGAATAGAAGAACAATTCACCTGAAAACAAGAAAGTGACAGACATGTCGACTCATGCAAGAGACTTGTCAACTTGTACACGGATATGTGCACGGTACCGTATCCAGGTACAGTGTTAGGACTTAAGGTGTGACAGGGGAATTTCTAGGACTAATAGATCAGCCCCACCTCAAATCTACCTAGGTACCTAGGTAACCGATGAAATTCCGTGAGATCTTAGGTCACTTCACTAAATCGATAAATTCATTATTCAAGAAGGAGGGGTTGCATCTAATCAAAATCACATGACCAGGGTTTGCTTAGCCCTTTGAGGAAATTTTGACGAATCCTGGCGTCCGGTGTGACTCTTCCACTCTTCCACTCTTCCACTCCCAACCCTTCACATTCGAGTGCCAAGACTTGCGAATTCATCACCAAAAACCACCCACATCGACGGATTTCTTCCATACTCCTCAACTTCAACCATACGGAAACAATCTACACCACAACTCTGACAAGATGGGAAAAGTTCACGGATCTCTCGCCCGTGCCGGTATGTTCAGCGACGAATACTACGAGATGGAATATCGCTGACAATATTCTACAGGCAAGGTCAAGTCTCAGACCCCCAAGGTTAGTTCTTCCAGCATCATTTCGACAATTCCATCCTCGCGACGAGGGAGCGCGCGTACGAATCCGACATCAGAACGATTGATTTCATCGATTGCCATCGACTTCACTGGCTTCTTACAACTTCTACGATGCGATTATTGATAATTCGCCACTCGTTTTCGAGACGGGATTTCAACAACCGAATCAGGCGCTGGCCGCTACATTCTTTGTCTTATCGAACACGCGCTCCCTCATCGAAATCGCAACTATCTCGGATATCGTGAAATGTGAATCAAGCATATCAGAAGGCTAATACAACATAAAACAGGTTGAGAAGCAAGAGAAGCCCAAGACCCCCAAGGGCCGCGCCAAGAAGAGGCTCACATACACCCGCCGATTCGTTAACGTCACCCTGACCGGTGGCAAGCGAAAGGTACGTCTTTGTTTGCCAGTATTAACCTCTATTCGTTAACTCGATCCTAACACACTGATAGATGAACCCCAACCCTGGCACGTAAGCCTGACATCGCACTCGAGCTCTCGAGAGCAGCCAACGTCGTATTCGGGAGGATTTGGAAGGCGATGGACGAGCAGACACATCCCGGTGTCTTGCTCTGAGCGTCCACCTCTATTGTGTATGGCAGACAAGAAAAACCTGCTCTATTACGAATGGAAACGAACAGGAGATGAAACGGTGGTTGTGGATGCTCATGGGTTTGCATCTTCTTTAGGGAGTCATATGGCATTCATCGTTCTGGCTTGGTAATTGCGTCCAAGCCTCTCGTCTGTATCTACGCAGGTATTGCCTGGAAAGGCAAAAATCAGAGGATAGTAATACTCTGCAACAAGTTGTTATTGCCGATTGTGATTGTACCGGTTCGATTATCCCCGAAATATTATCAAGTGAACAGACTAAGTTGCACTTGGTATCAACTCCTAGCCCCCTTATTTGCAACGACTGCTTCGAGGCATCCTTCCTGACCCATAGCATCGAGTGCTATTGGTTCTCGAGTTGACGGGTCCATTCTATTACGGTAGGAGACCTACGCCCTCTATATTCAAGTGTGTTCGTTCCATATATTCCGAAGACTAGTGTCCATTCAGCACCTATTACCAGTCAGGCT